GTTTATTTCCCTTACATAGTGTCATAAACTCGATGGAATTTCCTTCACTATTCTGTTCATTTTTTTCTCAGGCTGAACGAGTACAAAAGTTTTATGATTCTATGAAGAAAGGAGAGATTTTTAAAAAAGCACATGAATAGTGCTGTTGAGTTGCATGCACTTCCTTGTTGAGGTGTGAGGTGGTGAAACCATTTAATAGCAAGGCTATGTGAGGGAAGATTGGAAGATTGTTGAGACTTTTTGATAGAGTGGTTGGTATGGGATCGTCTCTTGGGATTGGAGTCTAAGGTAAGGGCTCTTTCATTTCTTAGATTCATTTGCTCTTTCTCCAAGTTTCCTCTTAACATGAATGAGACCAGAATTTGCCTCTCTGTGAACATACTTAATCACCAAATGTATTTTAATGGAGCTCTTGGGGTTTAGGTAAAGATTATGCAACATGAGTTCGTTACCTAGTACTTGGAGATAATAGAACATTTAGGAAGATAGGAACATTGCCATCTTTTTCTCTTGGGATTGAAATGCTTCCCTTGAATGCTATTCTTCTCCCTCCTGTGGACCAGGAACAGACTTCATTGGAGGCAGACAGACAGGCTGCCACAGTTCCCTGCATTTTAAAACCATGTGGCATGATTTTTCTTGGAACGTGTATTGCATATTTGCAAGTACAAGGTGGCAATTTTGACTTGGTTAGAAACATGAAGAAGAGTTGAAAATTAGGCCAGTTTTCATAACTTGGACCTCTGCCAAGAATGAGTTTTCTTCTTAAAAAAAGAAACATGCATTTTTCTAGAATGTAATGACTAAAAATGAACCAAAAGCTATGAATATTGTTGTACTGAAGGGGACGATTCTGGCTTGTGTAAGCCATTCAAACTTTGTATGAAATGATATCGACTGGAGTATTTCAATTTTAAACCTTGCTATGTCTGCTAAACCCTTGAAGGCATAGAGGGAAATAATTTAAGCTGTTTCTTTTAAAAAAAAAAACATTTTGATAGCAAGAATTGGACAAGTTGGTAGAAATAGTCCATTTCTTGCATCATCTATAATTATCAGGAAAAGGGATCCTGCTGCCATTGTTTTATGAGTATATAACTAAATAGTAAACTCAACCAAAGTTCCTCATCCTTGTCTATTCATGTTTACATGGGACCATATAAATAAAGCAAGCCATGAACCTTTAATCCCTGCCATTTGTCATTTTATAACCCTGGATGGGACACTATTCCCACGAAATATAGATAATAGGACAAGAAAGTGAGGTTCATAAATGGATGCTAGATATATATATTTAATACTAACCAAGTCATTTATGGGTGTATTTTAAGAATGGATGACACAGGGAAAGAAAGACCCTGTTAAATATTAAGTTCAGTCTCTCCATGTATAGGTTAGGTCTTTGAATGACCCAGCATCACATGTGTCCAGAGTGTTCCAATAATCTAGAGTTGGGGAAGGAGCATGGTCATATTATTGTTCATTTGTGGTGATTGTGCTGCACGAAACAGCCTTTAAGAGATATTATAGAGGTCAGAGTGGGGTGACATAATAGATATATAGTTTCAAACATCAGTGAGTGATAACCTTTTTCTGTATCCTTAAGTTCCCAGAACAGTGCGATCTTCTTATGATGATGTGCATTTTCATTTTCTCTTCAGATACTCTTCAGGTCGTATGTTCTAGCTAAAAGGATGCCAGGATAGGCAAGTTAAGGATCCCTCATGGATTGGGGCACCAGCTTGCACAGAAACTTGTAGCCCACTCTGGGAGAGGGAGCCCTTGTATTCTCTCTTGGGTAGTGTTGAGCAAATCATAAAGTCTTTTTTTGGGGGGGGGTCAAAGTCTCACTCTGTTGCCCAGGCTAGAGTGCAGTGGCACACTCAAGGCCACCATAGCCTTGACCTGCTGAGCTCAGGCGATCCTTCTGCTTCAGCCTTCCAAGTAGCTTGAACCACAGGTGTGTGCCACCAGGCCCAGCTAAATTTTTTTTTTTTAATTGTGGAGATGAGTTCTTGCCAAGTTGCCAAGGCTGGTCTTGAACTCCTGGGCTGAAGCCTCCCAAAGTGCTGGGATTATAGGCATAAGCCACCATGCCTGGCCTGGTTGAATCACAAAGTTTTATCCTTTTAAAATCTCTTGTCTAGCCTCCTTAGTCTATGATTACATGTGTATTCACATTCAGTATATTGAGTTCCACATTCAGTTTTTTTCCTGAGGCTGTTTTGCAGGTCATTTTGGTTTCTCTGTGCAAAGGCATTCCATCTCAGCAGATAGATTATTATTTCTATTTGTTTCAAATTTAACTTTTTAATTTTTTAAAATAGGGAAGTACATTATTTTAGCACCCTCTTGCCTCCCTTCATATTGGCCTTCTTTTTAAAATGGGAACTTTGGGGAAGGGGGGATTGGCAGTATTGGGAAACTGTCGGGGGGGGAGGGATGGGGCACACCTCATCAACAAGGGTACTTGCATAATGAACATTGGTATATCTAACCCTGAATTGTACCCCACCTCTTCAAAATTAAAAATAAAAAAGAAATGAGAACTGTGCCCAATGTGACTAGATTTGAGATAGTTGCGACTGGAATTGGGGAGAAAGGGACAGGGAATCATCATGGGCCTCGATGGGGTGGAACTAGGAAGATGCTCGTCTGTGTGCCCTCTGTGTGCCAGGCTTGATGGCCAGGGCTTCACACATGTTCCACGCTTTATCTGGAGCCTGCCTTCCTCTAGAACAGGAACAAGGGGTCTGAAGATTGCATCCTCCAGCAATCTTGGAAAACTGACTGAAGTTAAGCAACTTTCCCAAGGAGATAGAGTGATGGGGTGGTAGAGGAGGAATGAGAGACCATGGCTGCCTGAATCCATTCATTTTTTTCCAGTACATTGTCTTGTTTCGTAGAAAGGAGGATTGTGGAATTCTTAGATGATTTCCTGATTTAAATTTAAAATGGGACCTCATTTACCATCATACTATAAGAAAGGGATTGGCAGTAGTGGGATACTGTGGTGGGTGGGGGCAGAAGCACGTAATATAAATAAGGGTACCTGATCTCAAACCAGGCAATGTAGGGACCAAAGGGAGGCCTAAACTTTACCTGTACGATGACTGCTTGTATATGTAGTGCTGAATTGTACCCCACATCTTTAAAATAAAATAAAAATAAAATGGACCTAATTTGGAGACCTAGTATGTATTAATGAAGACGAATGCCTTTGTTTGGTCTTGGCCTCCGTCACAAAAATAATTGATTAGTTGTGAGGCCCTAGTTCTATAGTGCCTTAGGGAAACTCATGTTCTCTATAAAGCAATTCTCAGCTTTTATGCCCATTGTCAAACTGCTAAGTTTTCAGAATGCACACTTGTGGTCTTGAGTTCAGTCACAGAGAGAAGCACAGAACATTTTATGGTTGCTCCTTATGGATTTACGTATGTTTAGACTTGTTTGGGGGGGAAAAAATGAAGAAAAGAAAGACACCACTCTAAACATCTGGAGAGGCTTTTTCATGGATTGTGGATTTTCTTGATCTGTAGGGATCTTAGGCATTACCCTATCAGATATTCAGAAGACTCTGTCCTCTCCCAAGCCAGGGCAACATGTGTGACATTTTCCCCCACTTGGTTTCTTTCAGCAAGAAATATACTTTAGTAATTTGGAAATAAACCCACTGCAGAGAGAATAAAAGATTTGAAGGCTGATGAGATGCCAAGGAGAGATGATCTTTGTATCCCTTACATGGAGTGTATCAGAGGATTACTTAGTACTGTATCTTCTTAAGTTCTACCCTTTCTTCTTGGATTCAGGAAAAGTCATAATTTGGTATCATGATTATGTTGACAGTCATGGTCATAGGAGCTTCTTGACACTGTCATCGATTTAGAGAAACAGGGTCCAGGGTTGAGGTTGTGTTATACACTGTTCTTTGCACATCAGTGACTGTGCATAGCAACCCTATTAAGTTGGTGCACCGTTGTGTCACTTTAGACAGGAGCCTAAGGCACACCAAACTGATGGCCTGGGTCACAGTTCCTGGGTGTTGATAGTTGTAATACAGTGTGGTTTTCATGGAGTTACTTGTCCAAGTTGTAACTTGAACTCCTCCTGCACAAACTCTCTTCCTGAGGTTTGAGGTTTTGAAATTCACAGCTCTTTAAATCTTGAGACCACAAGAGAGACAGGCTCTTGGGAAATATGTGATGTTCTTTCTGTTTCACATCTGTTGCAGAAGGACCATCTGATAAAGTCCCTTAAGTACATCATTCTCAGGATATCTGGGTGTTCTTTGTTACTGGCCTGAGAAATGACGATAGGGCGTTGCAAAAAGTGGATAGAGGAGAACAAGACAGACAACAATTAAACCCAATACTTCTCATCTGGGGGAAAGGAGAATGATACTGTGTCTGAAATACTAGTGATAGAAATGGGTTACAATTTTGGAGAAGTGATTTGCCAAAATTTTAGGTTCTAAGTCAAGAATTATAACTGTAAAAAAGCCACCCCCCCCCCACCTCATTGTACATTCTTTTTATTCTGGGACAGCAAGAAAGCTTCAAAGAATGCTCTTGGTATAACTCTTGTGAAATTAAGTAATGCATATTGGGAGTACATTACTGAAAATTTTCTGTTACCCATTTTTGACAATAAAATATCTAGATTTTTTCCATCATTTTTTTCATGTGGAAAGTTTAAAAGAAAAGGATAGTTAACCTCAATTGTAAAAGAAAACTTTAAGTTGCTTTGAGATAATGGTATGTAAATTAAGAAAGAATTAATTGATGGTTTATCAAAACTCATTTTATTGATTGTCTTGTTTATTAAGTTTGGCTCATTGGTATTATAAGCTATATTCTGTTGGAAACCACAGAACTATTTCATCATCACTTTTGGTTAATAAGAGATAAGTGTAGAAGAGATATGATTTGTTGGAAACTTCAACTATTTTGTTCTATTGATTGTATAGAATATTGGTGCTGATTGATATTTTCTCTGTTTTTCAGGGTCGACATGTTAAAACGGGTCAGTTGGCAGCCATCAAAGTTATGGATGTCACTGAGGTAAGGTTGGGTCCCACATTTTTAAATAAATTGTTAGATAAAAGACAAGAATCCTCTCACCAACAATGTAGAATATTATTCTGTTTGGAGAATCTGATCACTTGAACAAATTACTCTCCTGTGACATAGGTCCAGCAGACTAGTTGACTTAAATTGTTGCAGATGGTCTTCAAGTAACTAAGAAGCAGTAGCATTTTCTTAAAAAACACACACACACACACACACACACACACACACACACACACACACACACACACACACACACACACACACTCACTCTCTCTGAGTGATGTCATTCTTGGCAGCATAATGGACCATAATTGGAAACATCTTCTCTAATGGAAAAGAGAAAAATTCGAAAAGGGATCATGGAGGTCACATGAATAGGGAGATTGAGGGGTGTAGAGTGGGGAAAAGTGTCTCTAGGGTGTTAGGCCACATTTGTGCCATTTCTTTTATTTTTAACATGAGGAAAGAAAACAGATCCAGCCAAGTTCCCAGAGGTTTGAAAACAGAAACATCTGCTAGAATGTTGAGCAGATTGTTGGCAAAATTTAGTAGCAAAAAATAGTACTTGAAATGGCCGCTGAGGATTTACTGTACAGCATTCTATGGGAAAGCTTTATGTGCAACTTTTATGAGAACTTGACCCAGACAAAAAGTGTATGTGTGCCTGTGTGTGCATGTATGTATATGCTTGAGTACATGTTTAACTTCTTTATAAATAGTCATAGGTTACGATGAACTAAATCCATTTTATTTTATATTATTTTTGTCTGAACTCTTACTTTTTGCTCATGCATGCTTCTGACTTGCCTAATTATGAAGAGAATTCAGTATTATGTTGCAGATTCTAGAAAGAGTTAATCAGCAGCCTTGGGGATTTAGGGTAACTTTAAATCAAGCTATAATTTCCTCAAATCTGGGGTCTATCGAGGAAGATAAAGTTGAAACAAATCGATCTCAAGTATGTTATCCAGAGACTGAGATCTCCTCCTCTGCCCTGCTCTCTGCTTGGTCTCTGACAACATGGTCATCTCCAGTATGGGTATTTGTTAGTAAGAATTAGAAAACGTCATCTCTGGACCACAGAACCACTGATGGAACCTTACATAAATATTTGAAGATGTGATATTTTATGAGGTGACTGCTCTCTTCTCTCTGTCAAAGAGGATAACGAGACTTTAAAAATGAAAAAAAAATGCCATTTGTTAGTTTTGAACGACTAAGAGATTCTCATGAGCATACTGTGATAGACTGTTCTGTTGTACTATAGTTATCCTGTCTTGGTGTACAAGTCAGTGGGAAACTGGATGCTTTCTAGTTAAGTATTTTAAAATTATTTTAAGGAGCAGTGAAGGAGCAGTAAATTTTTGCTTATTGTAATTTCAGTATAGTAGTTGAATTATTGATGAAGTGTTTTCTCTGTGAATGGAATGATTAGTAACACTTTCCCACCAAAGTCTTATTTCCAGTGCTCTGCCTCTTGCCAGTGCTGTGTTGGGAAATGGTGTTGCCATATGGTCTTTGCATATTTGTTAACACACTTGCTGACTTGTTTACTGGCAAACTTGCAGGCACCATTTTAAAGGTAATCTTTTGGAATTTCACGAACTGAGAGTTCATCCTCGTAGTACCACTCAGCCTGTGCCGCTTCTTCCCCTGACAGCTGTTGTGGCCAGACAGGGTACTCTCACACTCACATCTTTAGTGGAATCTAGGTGAGGTTTGTCTCCTCTGTAGAGACCTTCTTCATCAAAGTCTGGCTCTGATTTTAAGTGTGTAATACATGGTCACTTTAAAAAAAGTGTAAAATATAGGAAAATATAATGAAGAAGTTAAATCTTTATGCTCCCATCATGTTACAATAACTATTGTTGGTGCTTGGCTGTATTTCCCTGCAGTCATGTTTCTGTGAGTGTAGCTATAAAATAGATACCGATACATGTTATAGGTGCTTTTGTTGAATTGTTATACTAAAGGTATTTTCTTGTCTGAAAAATCATGTTGGATAAATGCATGATGTAAGTATTGTCAAGACTCCCTTACATGTAGTTAATGCATGTATTCAGGTAAAATGAAAACCAGATGGTGAGTCTTCAAAAATAATACAAAACCAATCAACCTTATTGGTCTCCTAGTAATGTTTCTTGTGCTGTTTTCAAGCAGTGACCTCTGCTATAGCTTGGGGCACAACCAGAGTAAGTGTTGCTTGTGGATAGAGGACCACATACAGATGGCAGCCTGAAAACCTTGCCCTTGCCTACGCTCCCAACATAGGGCCTTAGGCTCCAGTTGTAGGCCTTGGCCTTGCTGGACGCAGTTGGGAATGGGCTGAGTGAGAGGCCTTTTCAGCTGATGCTTCTAGTTCCAACTCCAGCAGGAGGGGCCGTTGGAAAGGGCTCTTGAGAGAGGATTCTGTGTGGTTTTTTACTTCCACTCAGTTTCGTCTCGGAAGCAAAAAGGTGCAGATAACTTGTTCTTGAAAACAATCACAGACTTGTGAGATTTAGGTAAAATTTTAAGTGGAACTGAGAGGCCGTTGCCAGGCTACTCATCTTCATGCTCCTAAGGCAAGAAGGGCAGCAGGTGCAGCAAGTTGACTGGCTCTTCTCTGTGAGCTGTGGCTGTTGGCAGCCTGAAAGAATCCAGCTCTGGAGTCGACTGCAGGGGATGCCAAAATGTGGACCCACTTCACGTGATTTACTTAAATAGGTGAATCTGGAAAATAAAACTGAGAATTCAGATTTCATTATTCAGATAGCTCGCTTTCTCTCTCTCTCTCTCAATAAAACTGAGAATTCAGATTTCATTGTTCAGATAGCTCGCTTTCTCTCTCTCTCTCTCATACTTGAATTGGTGATTTAAATTCTTGATAGCTCCTTCATTTCAGTCTTTGTGTCTTTATCTCAAACTTGTATTATGTATACTAAACTGCTATGCATAGGACCTGACAGTTTGCTTCTTGCAGTTTTGGGTTGTCCCGTTACTTTGAATTAACACTCTAGAAAGTAAAAAGGTAAATCAATTAGACCAGTGATGCTTAACTTGTGGTTCATAAACTTTTTGAATAAGTTTTGTCTCCAGGAACAGAATTTTATTTTGTATTTCAAAAATAAACTTAATGTTTATCATGAAAATGTTCATACATACAGAAATGTTGAAAGAATGAGCACTTACATTCAACAGTTAAGATTTTGTGTTTACTTGTTGTTGAACGTTATTGTGGGTGCCACCATGACACTTCACTTATAAATACTTGAGCATACTGCTCTTAAAGACAGTCTTTGACATAATCATAGTACCACCTAAGAGAATCAGTAATTCCAGAATTTTACCTAGTGTTCAGTCTACATTCAGATATCTTTGACTGTGCCATCGTTTTCATAGCTGTTTTAAAAATCATAGTCAAATCCAGGTTTGTGCATTATAGTTGATTATCTTATCTCGACTCATTTTTAAGCTGGTGAAGTTGTTGTGTACTTTCCTGCCTCTGGTCCGTCCCCCCATCCCCCACCCCCAAAGAAATTTACTTTTGGAAGAGTCCAGGCAGCTGTTTTGTAAAAATATCCCACATTAGGAATTTGATCGTTTCCTCATGTTATGCTTTAACTTGGCTTTCCCCCCCCTCATATTTCCTGTAAATTTAGATGGAGTGGCTTAGTTAGATACAGGTTCAATACTTTTTGGCAAGCATACCTTACTGGTGGTATTAGGGACTTCATGTTGCATCACATCAGGGGGTACATCAATTCTGAGTGAAGCCCACTCCTCTAATAGCCTCCCACTGTTAGTGAAGCCAAGTAGGACTGCTTGATTAAAGAGGTGACTGCCAGAGTTTTCCACTTAAGTGTTCATTATTAGTTTTGTACTTGGTTAGTAATCGCCATCGTGATACTTTGGCACTATGTGAATATTCTTGTTTACCAGCAACCTTTGAACTAATGATTTTAGTATTCATGTGATGATTCTTGCATGGGTTAATTAATGCAAAATGATGATTTTCTGTGTTATTAGTCAGCATCAGTCTATGGGGGAATTTCCTTTCATACCTACTCCTTCCCTTCTCTTTTTCTCTGGATATGGCTATAGAAATGGGTGATTTTGTGTTTCCATCAGTTACAGCTGTATGTCAGTTACTGTTATTATCATATGAATAAATTTTACCAAATTTGACAATGAGAGTCTTTGACATGACCCCAGTGGGTGGTCCCCAATGTGGTTTTTGGGTATCTCCTTATTTCTGGCCCAAGTAGCTATTTGAAAGCTCTCTTGTCAGAAAATGGAACATGGTAAACCCTTCCTCTTAGGAGCCTTAGCTCCATTTAGTGGAAAATGTATTTAGAAACCACCATCAGGATGCTCAATGTGCTCGTTGCTACTGAGATGTTATTGCATCTAGGTCCTTTCAGTAGACAAAGCTAGGAGATAATTTTTTCAAAAATCAGAGTTTTTTCCTTAATTTATTCTTTCTTATATATCTTATATTCTTTATCTTTTTCCTATACTGAAATCTTGATTCCTAATAAAACATTGCATCTGCTTATTTGCTTTATCCTTCAGTAAGCATATAATTTCAGAATTACAGTAACTGTATTAATACTTACAATGGACATGAAATGAGGTTTTAGATTTCTCTAAAGTTCTTTTTGTCCTTAAAATGTATCTGTTAAGTATTTACAGTTAGAGTGCTGTATTCAGAAGTTACTCGAAATAATTTTCTCTGTATGATTTATCAATTTGTTATGTTGGTAGATTAAATTTCCATTTAGATTCAATTATAGGGTATACTTTTTCTCTTGGTTTAACTTAATTGTTACACGTATGGCCTATTTAATATAGTTCAAAAGTCAAAACTGTAGTAGAGGCAAGCGTTTTGTAAAGTTAGGCCTGGATTATCTAGGTGACAGACCATCTTATACCCAAGGATTTCATGCATTTTTAGTATTTGTGCTTGTTGTTGCTTTGGGCAACATATTTCTTGGGTCATCTCAGAGAGA